ATGGAGCGCCATACAAATCGCGGTCGCGAGCCGGTATGGAAGGAAATCGGTTATGCAGCCTTCACTAGAACCCACTATTGCTCCTCAATGGCCAACACCTATTCTGTTAGTTGCGTTTTCTTCAATACTCTGGTGTCAATATGACATCTACACTAAATTTTATTAACAAATATAATGCACATCAAGAAAACACACATTTTAAGAAAACGAGCACATGATGCATATAATAGTAAACAGCACCGTCAAGCAAGAAAAAATTGCACTTTCTTCAGAATGCATAATAAAGGTAGTACAAAGATAACAGAATGGTGGAATGCAATGGGTAATGGTCACAGAAAGCAGAAAAAATATGCACATCACACACGAGATAAATATATCCTGGATAAAGTGAGGATCCGTGATGGAATCGATCGAAGAACTAGATTCAAGCGATTCGGTTTCCAAAAACATTAGTTGAACCGAAAGTTCGTTCGCACCATTTCAAAAAAAATTGTAACTTCTTTGTCTTACGATAATCTCACTAGACAAAAATAGTATTAGGAAGAGCAAGGCGTATGCTTTCCAATGGCACCTTGCTTGCTTCTTACCAAGCCTTGATTTAATTAATTATTTATTTATTAACTTTGCATTTATCTCATATGATTGGGGTCTGCTACTTTTGTGAGTCTCTTCCATAATTTCTTGTCTGTTGCTTGTTGTTCGTTCAACGCAAGTTCTCTTAGGTCTGCCTTAATTATCTAATTATCTTGATTTAGGTCTTACTCTCCGTCTTCTTTCAGGACATCCACTGATAGTGCAAATCTCGTAATGGGTCCCTCTTCTTTTCTAGTCACATTTCCATACCATCGAAGACGCTTCTCTTGTATCTTATTCATGATTGGAGCCACCTTCATTGTGTTAAGTATGGTATCGTTTAAGACGCGATCTAGCATAGTCACGCCTGCAGTCCATCTCAGCATTCTTGTTTTCATTACTCGGAGCTGGCGTTCTTCTTTTCCTGTGCACGGCCAGCATTCGCTGGCGTAGGTGCAGCTGATCGAATAATAACCGTGCGGTAGATCTGAGACTTAAATGCAGTACTTCTGCAGAATGAGACCCGTGACAAAACAAGGTCACAGGGTAGGAGCCCCCATACGGAACCTATCGGCCAGAGTCCGATCTTTCTCTGCCACTTCTAACCTCCGAAATTTCAACGCGGAAGCAGCGCTCATTTCCTGTATTCTCTGGCCCCGCCCACCATGGCGGGGTTGCGAGGGAGGTTGCGAGGTAAGGTTGCGAGGAATTCGTTTGTCGCAAAGCACTCCAGTGAGGTTCTCCTCTTTACCCAGACTGCATGTATTCTGCTGTTTATCCCGTCGTAAAGACTCCCGTTTGCGGAGATACAACTTCCCATATTTGAAGGAGGTGATCTTTTTGATTTGCGTGCTTCCAATCTGAATTGTCCCGGGCGTCTGGAACTTCCATGTACTCAATCTTCTTTGTGTTCACTGTCAATCAATGCTGTTATAGCTTAGTCTTCCACTTCTGTATATCAACTTCGAGCTCCGCTCGGCTGTTGGCCATTAGGATTATATCGTCCGCGTATATAATCGTCCATGGTGGTTGACGTACGGAGCCTTTGACGATAGCATTCATGACCGTGATGAAAACGAGGGGCGAAAGTACAGATTCTTGGTAAACGCCGATGTTTATCTGGAGTATTCTGATTCTCCCACAGCTGTTTATACGTAACTGGTCGCATTTTTGTACATTATCTTAATCCAGTTTACGTACAGTCTGCTCCAATCGGGATCAGGCCGAACCGTCGGCGTAAATTGCGCGCTCGTAGCGTTAGCGGTCTGCGCTGCATATGCGCGTTGTCGAAGAGAGCAAAGATTGCAGAGAGAGCAGAGAAGCAGGCCGTGGGCATGACCGCGAAACCCTAGCGACGAGGACTCCCGCCATGCCAGTTTTGGCCTGGTTAGGATTGGGGCAGACTGTATTCTTCCGGTACCGTGTGCTTCCGCAGTGCCCACCATATGATGTTATGCGGCACGCCTATCAAACGCTTTTTCCAAATCCAGAAATGTTGCGTGCTTGCAGTGCTTCTCCCTACTTCTTTACATCATTATTTCAACAGTGTGGATGGCGTACTGTATCCCTCAACGAATCCGCACTGGTTTGGTACCAGTTCTACGATTCTTCGGAGCCGTGCTTCTAATACTCTTTCAAAAATCTTCAAAGTTTGGCTCATGAGTCGAATAGGACGATACATGGTGCAGTCAGCTATATCGCCTCGATTTTTCCATATCGGTATTGTTATGCTTCTGTACCAGTCGCTTGACATTTTCTTGTATTTCATTATCTGGTTCAGAAGTCCTGTCAACCATGAGACGCCGCTCTGTCCGCACTTTTTCCAAAACTAGTTGGAGATGTCGTCGGGACCTGTCGCTTTGCCGTTCTTGGTCTTTTTATGGCGGTGCAGACTTCTTCCTCAGTAATGATGGGCACGGGTCCATACACAGGTTCAGCTGCGTGGATGCACAGTCATGTCTAGCGCATGCCAGCTCCGCAAAATGCAAACGCCATCGTTCTTTTATTTCTTCTGGTTTAGTCAGCATTTTTTCATTAACATCCTTGACATTACAAAAGTGATCTAAGTCTTTCGTTGCATTCGCTCTTTTTCCGGCTACCCGGTAGATTTCTCTTTCGCCCTTGTGACTGTTTGGTTTTTCGTACAGTTCCGCTATATATGCTTCTTTCGATTCTCTCACTTCTCTTTACTGCACGCTTGGCGTTGAATATGTTTGATGGGCATCTTCTGTTCTTGTCATCTGCCATCTTTTGTAAGTTATCCTTTTATTTTTTATCACAGTCTGCACTATATTATTCCACCACCAGGGTTTCTTTGTCGATTATCAATCGTCCGGGTTGTACGTCCCAGGAGCACTCCAGCTATCTGGTGGACATTGTTCTTCAAAGTATTCCAGGAGTGTTCCGGATCTACTTGTAGCTCCGGTAAAACAGATTCCATGGCTATTTTAGCGTCGGGGTCATTTTTGAGTTTCTACCATTTAATACGTACTCTAAATTCCGTCATTGTCTTTTTGCGCCTTTCAAGTGGGATATTCAGGTCATTAGCAAAGGACTGTGCTCAGGTATGCAGCTCTCGCCCGGAATGACTTTGCTGTCTTTCACATATTTAAGCTCATTTTGTCTTACTGCCCAGAAGTCTGTCAATTTCTGCCTCCGGAATACGTTATCAGGTGACTGTTTCTTTTTTTTTTTAAGTAGATGCTTACTAGCCGAGAGTGCGTTCCCCTTCGTTATTACGTAATCCGTGCCCGTGGTTTCAATGACACTTTCCTGCACCACTTCGTTGTTCCCCAGCGTGGCCGTTGGAATCGGCTCCAATTAACAATATTTTCTTTGGATGCTGAGACTGATGTGATCGTCAAGCTCTTGCCAAGACATATCCTTCTCTACCTCACCGCATCCTGTTTGGGTGCATAGGCAGTAATCATTCGCAAAGTTCTTTTCCCATTTTCTATCCCAGCGCTCATAATTCGGTCATTCCTCGAATCACGTCAGCTATTCTGTTCCTCAGCTCTTTGGAGACAACAATTCCGACGCCATTCTTGCCGTTACTTGTTCCATTGTATAGGAGTTCGTATCCATCTCCTATATCGCGTGATTTTCACCTTTCCACTTCGTCTCCTGAATACATGCAATGTCTACTTTACGTCATCTGTGTAGATCCGCTAGTTCTCGGTGTCGTGTCGTTAGAGAACCCACATTAATGGTGGCTAGTCGAAGCTTTTCCGAGAGTCTGAGTCGTTGCTTGGACTTATAATTACCTAAATTCTTCGGTCGTTTTCGTTCTTGTTGAAAAAGTAATCGCCGTTTGCTCTTCGTATTCGTCAGGTGTGGGTGTGTGACTCTTTTGCGGAACGTCCCAACTGTGATTTGACGACTAAGACATAAAAAGCGTACTGATGCGACTGTTTGACTTCTTCAGCAGGCTTGTCGCTTGCTATCCTTTGGATAGGCAGCCTGACGCTGGGGACAACCACTCACGATGGTTGAATGAGAGTAGAAATGAGAATTGATTAATTAATATTTATTATTGATATTTTTACTTATTTATTATTCAGTTACTAAGCCTTGATTGCAGAGATAAAATTGCGAAAAGAAAATCGGTTCAATTTCGGAATTTCGAGGCAAGCCCGCTAAAAATTCCATAAATGTGCCGTAAAATCCAAAAAAGGCAGTATCCTAGGTTTTTTGGTCCCCTCTTTCTAGCTGAGCAAAATTCGCGCTGATCGAGCCCTCTGAAAAAAGTTATGATTCTCTATAATTTCAAAAATCAATCCCAAGGAAGTGATTTTTTGACATTTTTTCTCAAAAAAATGCCAAAGATTGCCAATTCTGTTTTGGATTTTATGGCACATTTTTGGAATTTTTAGCGGGCTTGCCTCAAAATACCAAAATTGAACCGATTTTATTTGCAATTTTACCTCTGCAATCAAAGCTTATAAAAGGCAAGCAAGGCGATTAAAAAACACACGCTTTGCTCTTCTTATTACTATTTTTGTCCAATGGGTTATTCTAAGACAAAGAAGTTACGATCTTTTGGAAATGGTGCGAAGCCTCGGTTCAGTTTTTGGTTTCAATGCTCATATAAAAAGCTCGAGTTTTAGCTTACAAAAAGCACTTGAGCAAAGAAAAGAAACGAAAGTCCGCAAAGAAGAGAGAGGAAGCGAAACTTTGAGAGTAATATAAAAATAGCAGCGTTAAAAATATAGCGAGTATCATTATTACTTCTGAGGCACATGTACAATGCGCTTTTAAAGCCCACTAAGGTGGCCGTGCGTGCAGCACAAAAGAATCAAAATAAGAAAATGAATTCAGTTTCTTTACATCCATCTAAGTCCAAAAGCGCGTGCACAAGAAGAAAGAGGGCAAAGACGACAAAAAAAACTATAAGTACAGGATGACACAGATAAACATGATGGCCTTACATAGCCATCCCAGCTCTGGGCGGACCCCTTCCTGCATTGTTCGTTGTGGTCTCATGGCGAGACGTTCTCGCCTGCCGCTCCAGCTTCACCTGACGTGTCCGAGACGAGTACTCTTTTGCCTTTCCGCTGAAAATACATATTTATATCCAGCAAAATATAATGGTAAATGAATTAAAACTCACATTGCTTGCAACGAACCGCTCCGCGTTGTGGTCGTAACAGCCTGTCTTACATCGCGTCTGAAATACAATTTGTAAGAGTCTGTAAAACATCGGCACAAACGCTTACAATGCGACCTGTAGAGCCTTAAAAGTCGCTTCTCTATAGAACTGCGTCTCTTGAGCTAATTCGCCCGTCCGTGCTTTGTCAGTCCCTTCGAAGTCTTCGACGAAGTCTGGAACTAACCGATAGGCCTGGGCTTGAAAAATGTGAAACTTCTTACCCATCATTAAGATCTCCACGGAGCGGGGAGATCCTTGAGATTTTTGTCGCGCCCTCCCTTAGCGTCAAGTCGCACAGAGTACTCCTGGATTCGGTAAGGCGGGTCGGTAATCTCAATGAAGAACATGAATTGAGGGAATTAAAGCAAAAATCATAGGGCTGACCCTCTGGAATAGCACACGATAAAGCAAAACGAACTTCTGGAAGGCAGTTCTATTGTCGTTCGCGTTGAAGTTGCCAACACTAAGTCATTCAGGGAAACCTAAGTAAAATTATTTGGTACTCGTATTGTCATGGTACACCCACCCTAGCGAACGGTGGGGGAGCTTCCAGGTTGTACGACTTTCTACAGTTCCTAAGGGAAAAAACCAGCGTTTTTGCGGTTCCTGATTAGTTCCAACCAAGTCCATTCGGCGTGTGAGCTCGTCCAATTTTGCAGCAGAAATATACCCCTGAGGTTATGAGCTTATGAGGAGATGGAGGATGGCGCATACTTGGAGCTGGAGTGCTATGAGCCTCAATTCCAAATCGATTCCTGATGCTCCGCTCAAACCAGCAAAACAGAAGCTCACTGTATTAGCTGTAGTTTCCGAGTTAACAAACTCCTGCAAGTCTTTGTACAACGGCAAGGGAGCACATCAGAAGCCTCACTTCGTACACGGTCTTATTAGATTGATTTTGCCGTTTTTGGAGGTGAATGAGCTCGCAGCCAGTTTCAACATGATGACGTTCTTCGCAATGCAGGAAAACTAGGAGCTCACCCTCTGAGCTGCCGACGCTCATGGTGTTTCAAAACAGTACTCGGGCCGGTGGTAATTGTTTCCTATGCAGAACGGGATGACATGGCCTCTATCACGCGAATTTGAAGGCAGCGGTTCGGCAGAATGACAACTTTGGGATCGTTCTGGGTTCCCTTGGATGAGCTAAGTCTAAGACTGTGCTTTGCAGCTTCAAAAGATCAATAACCCGCTTTTCCAGAAGGAAAAGTGCTATTTGGGCGGACCGCGTATCCTGCTCTCTGGAGCGCGATTAATTCATGGGTACGGTAAGTACAGTATTTCCACTGACAAGCTAATCGCGCTCTAGAGAGCAGGATAAGCGGTCCGTCCAAAAGCACTTTTCACGTCTTGAAAAACGGGTTTTGGATATTTTTTGAAGCTGCAAAGCACAGTCTTGGAATTAGCTCGTCCAGAGGAACCCAGAATGATGAATATCCCAAAGTTGTCATTCTGCCGAGTCGCTGTCTTTGAACCGAAACGCACCGATAGGAACTTCTTCTTGCCTTTCAATCGGTAAGTACTCTTACGGGACGACATTTTTGGAAGATCTCGGAGTAGTTTTGCAACAAAAAAACCTTTGTCACTGCCAAGCTCAGTCGCCGAAGGTACAGACCGATCACGCAAAGGCTGGCTTGACCTTGACGTAGTCGGGTATGTTCGGCCTGTGCGAGTGTGAAAACCCTGGGGCGGGACGTGGATGATGTTTTCGCCGATTTCTATCGTACATGACTAGCTGGACTTAAGGATTAGCTCAAAACTATGAGGACAAGCGCGTTCAGGCAATTCGACTTCGAAATCTGTTCATGAGCGTTTTAATGCATAAATTTCTAAATTTTGTGCAAGACTTGGATTGAGGAGCAAAATCGATTTTGGGGGGCTTATGGGTACTCCAAAAATGCAAGTTTTCGAGTTACAAGTTTTGGTCCACAATCCTTTAATAGCAACACTCATATAGATCTCAAAGACGAAACCTTGCAACGCCGCCTTTGGCAAGAAAGGGGCGATGGAGGATGGAGGTCAAACTACCTCATTTCAAAGCTCAAAATTCACAAGAATCTTCATTCATTACACATTAACTGCGAAAGATGAGATCAAAATCAAACACTTGAGATACATCTTTTGAGAAATACCCACAGTATTGCGCGCTATTAAACCGAGAAGCGTAAGACCTATTAGCTATTTCCGCAAGAGTAGCTGATCCATTTATGTGTCTTACCGATCTTACTCTGATTCGCTGTTCGGTTATCTCCTTGAAGAAATTATTGTTTGCACTAATGGACATAATCTGTAGAGCTGTCCGCCGACAAGGATGAGGCGTGTGGCTCACTGAGTTATTCAGATGTTCAAAGGGGTCAGTACTAACGAACTTCTCAACGAGAACTTCGATCGAGTTGTTGCGGCGATTATAGAGGAACATGAGGATGGAAGCAAAACGGTCAAGGTCCTCGTTTTCATCGCGTCCGCAAAGATAGACCACATCTTGGCGGCTGCTCTGTGCTCTATTCCATTACAGACGGGACGAATATACCTTAAAAGAGATAACCACTCTTGAGCTGGAACTAGTGAAGAATGTGGACCATACCATTTAACAAGATTCACCACCTATTAGGCTTCCTCACGAGAAACCGTAATGCGTGCTTTATGATCTTCCGACAAAAGACCAGGCGCGATTCTACTCCTTGGGGATGTACGTGGAATCATCGATTCGTATGGCCAAAGAGAACCTCAAAAGTAAACGGCGAAACTATATTTAGGCTTATTTTTCTCAATTTTAGACTTAGGGGCGAGCATGGTAGTGTTGCCATCCTCGCAACAGTTATAAAACAGGTTTCTCATCCTTTTTGACAAAATGTACCTAAATTATTGCAAATGCATTCACAAATTAGCTCACAAAAACCACCTTTCTATCATCTCTATAGAATTATTCGTCGTGGACCGGTCGATACGGAGTTGCAACCTACGGTGCAAGCTTTCGAAAGGGGCCGAAGACCATTGGCACATCGAGCCATAAACATCTAGTTCGTGCGCCATCCCATGCTCAAAGAACCACTAAACATAGAAATGCCAAGTCACAATCTCATGCGCATGGCACTAACGTGGCACTTTATGTTGAAGACCTCCGGTGCCAATTCTGCCCAGATCTACTTGACACAAACCGCCATAGATTGAGCTTCTCTGATGACATCGAGCGTCAGTGATTTGGAATGACCCATGGTTCTCAAGCAAAACCAAAAGCCAAGCAGCGAAGCAGCTGCGACGGGAGATGCAATCATTCCCGTGGCAGCAACTAACGGGAAAGTGACGAATGCTAACTATAAACGCAAATTATGGCACTTGGCAAAGAGTTATCTGGAGAAAACCTCGTCTAACTCCGTGGCTGTGCAATCTTCAGGTCTTCCAGGAATAAGATCAACGAGTTGGCATATTTGTGGCTGGACAACTTTCTTAGACACGCTTTGATAAGTATATTATGATAATCGACTCGCAATTCCGCGAATTTAGACCTCGGGCCACCAAACATATCTATGCAAAATAATTATAATTGCAAAGGAGGCCAAAAACGACCTCTAATAATATCCCTCGTACTCCGAGAATACGTGAAGCGAATCTGAGGAAAAAGCACTTAGCAGAAGCCTCATGACAGGGGTCATTGAAAGCTCTACACCTGTCTAAGAATTCGTGGAAGTGTTGCAATAAAGAAACAACGCACGTATGATGCCAAACTGCCCAAAATTTTGAGCATCTTCTGCGTACGATTCCGAGATCCGAAGCGAGACAATCTCGTCTCGTTCAGCTAACCACATACGCTGTCTTCTTTCTACCATTCCCTTTACTGTGCACTTCGAGCCCAAAGTCACGATTCCACGCAGGTACTCCACACAGAATTTTCTGCGCCTACATCGTAAAATACCATAATTTCTGCATCTGCATTTAACAAAGTCTCACGGCCATATCAGCGACTCCACGATACAGGCAAACTTCTATGGTTCACATTACTCCATCTAGGTCGGCTACGATAGGGGTCTCACGCAGTGTATACAATTCTGCTTCCAATCTAGATGTCTCTCATCAACTTTCCGAAGTAAAGGTGAAGGATTCATCTGCTGAATAAAGTCTCCATCATTGTTTCGGTAGGCTTAGTTGGTGAGTATAGTGCGCCCGCAAGCAGAGAGTTGAAAAAGTAGTTAGCTTCCGATATGGGCAAATTCTCAATGCAAAGATAGAGCGGCCAGACTTCACGGCTAAGAGTTGTACCAAATTAAGATCCTCTGCCTTCAGAAAAACGTTCAGAACGATACCGTGACAGAGCCTAGAAACAAAGCCGTTCACTGAGACCGTCAAAAGGATGCGGAGTCGATTTGCAGCAAATTCTCCGGCACTCTCTATGGCTTCACGATAGCCATCAAAATGCCGTGGATCAGCAACTCTCGATGGAATCCGATTGTATGCTCAATATGAACCGATGTGGTATCGGATAACTGTGAAATGACATTGAGCACATGAATCTCGGTCCTTTGCACCACTCTAGCTCTTTTGATGCTCACACCGAAGTGAAAAAATGCTGAATAATGCGTAATCTGATTAGCTGACATGCTTACAAAGTTGAGGTGTAGATCGAGGACCCATGTAGTCAGAAGATGAGGGCTTTCCCGGGAAGCCTTCCAATTCCAGCAAAGAATCGCGGGACACCATGCCCGATTCTTCTTAGAGCCCAAACTCGCATTTGGCAATTTTGATTTTAGAAATTGCATTTCTGCTTAACGCTGCTGTTTATTCTTTGTTACTTTTTGTTTCAGAAATGTTGAATTTGAGACATTTGGTAGAATTAATCAAGCGCTAAACATCTGATGAATGAAGTCTTGTAGAAGAACGGAACCATATCAATATACCTCATGTAGAACTCATACATGCAAAACTGCCAAATTGCTTTTTCTTGTTTAAGCGAACAATAATGATGACTACGACAATGATATGCATGTAGGGCATTTGAGGGGGGTTACCAGATAGTATGAAGTTAAAATTGAATCCGCTTTGACATTGCCTAGGGAAGGGGGAACGGGAGTAATTCGACATACTGATTACAAATAATGTACTTTTTCAGTTTGTAGGCAGTCGCTCAAGGGTTGACCCATTTGACTAAAATTTGGTATACAGCGGTTACTGACACGCTACCAGCACATCACCAGTTGAGCGTTCTACACCTTTTCGGCAATGTCACGGTAGGT